CTGTTGTTGGTGCGTCGGTAGTGGATGGTTCTGTTGTTTGTATTTCAGTAGTTGATGCTGCTGTATTTGGTTCATCAGTCGTAGAAGATTCGGTTGTTGGTACTTCAGTTGTCGATGCCTCTGTAGTTGGTGCATCAGTAGTAGATGGTTCTGTTGTTGGTGCATCAGTAGTAGATGACTCAGTAGTAGGTACATCAGTAGTAGATGATTCGGTTGTAGGTGCATCAGTAGTAGATGATTCTGTTGTTGGTGCGTTGGTAGTGGATTGTTCTGTTGTTTGTACTTCAGTAGTTGATGCTGCTGTAGTCGGTTTATCAGTCGTAGAAGATTCTGTTGTTGGTACTTCAGTTGTCGATGCCTCTGTAGTTGGTACATCGGTGGTAGATGATTCGGTGGTTGGTGCATCAGTAGTAGATGATTCTGTTGTTGGTGCGTCAGTAGTGGATGGTTCTGTTGTTTGTATTTCAGTAGTTGATGCTGCTGTAGTTGTTTCATCAGTCGTAGAAGATTCGGTTGTTGGTACTTCAGTTGTCGATGCCTCTGTAGTTGGTGCATCAGTAGTAGATGATTCTGTTGTTGGTGCATCAGTAGTAGATGACTCAGTAGTAGGTACATCAGTAGTAGATGATTCGGTTGTAGGTGCATCAGTAGTAGATGATTCTGTTGTTAATGTGTCGGTAGTGGATGGTTCTGTTGTTTGTACTTCAGTAGTTGATGCTGCTGTAGTCGGTTTATCAGTTGTAGAAGATTTGGTTGTTGGTACTTCAGTTGTCGAAGCCTCTGTAGTTGGTGCATTAGTAGTAGATGATTCTGTAGTTAGTATATCAGTAGTAGATGATTTGGTTGTTGGTGCATCAGTAGTAGATGATTCGGTTGTCGGCGCATCAGTAGTAGATGATTCTGTTGTTGGTGCATCAGTAGTAGATGACTCAGTAGTAGGTGCATCAGTAGTAGATGATTCGGTTGTAGGTGCATCAGTAGTAGATGATTCTGTTGTTAGTGCGTCGGTAGTGGATGGTTCTGTTGTTTGTACTTCAGTAGTTGATGCTGCTGTAGTCGGTTTATCAGTCGTAGAAGATTCGGTTGTTGGTACTTCAGTTGTCGATGCATCAGTAGTTAGTATATCAGTAGTAGATGATTCGGTTGTTGGTGCATTAGTAGTAGATGATTCTGTTGTTGGTGCGTCGGTAGTGGATGGTTCTGTTGTTTGTATTTCAGTAGTTGATGCTGCTGTAGTTGGGTCATCAGTCGTAGATGATTCGGTTGTTTGTACTTCAGTTGTCGATGCCTCTGTAGTTGGTGCATCAGTAGTAAATGATTCTGTTGTTGGTGCA